CGGAATACGTGGGAATACAACCAAACTTGAAATGGCAAAATGAACTATACAGTAAAATATTTACAGAATAACAGTCCTTGTTAAACCTGTTGCTTTTTTGGCGTTCTCGTTGCCGGCGACGTCGTCTTTGCTGAAGCTTTCGTACTGTCTTTGCCCTGCAAACGGCTTGACCTTGGCGTGGCTTTATGACGATTTGGAAATGACTGTCCTGTCTCCATGAATACGTTAAAAAGTATCCGGAGTTCTACTTCTTCCTGAACACATCCACGCCCCTTTTCTCATTCACAGATCCCAAAGTTTCAACCTTACTGTTCAGCAGTACTAGAATTTATTCCAAAGTTATCCTAATAATGGGTAGAAGTTTGTATTGCTGAAAACTTTGCATTACTTTAAATTGTGTGAATAAAACCGAGAGTAGTTTCGAAAACTCGTGGGCTTGTTTGGGCGCACGCGCTTGGGTTCAAAGTTCGCGTGTGACGAAAATTAAAACGTTTATGACGTCAAGTTTTCGAAGCTTCAGTTCAAACATTTAAGTGAGCGTCGTAGCAGCTCTTGTCATAGTATCACTTGAATGGCTGGTGCCCAGAAAAGTGAAATCTCAAACAACAAGAAGCAGAACAGAGGAAAAGTATAAAGAAAAGTTACTTCCAACAAGAAAGGCGGTATTGAAAGGTTTGAATTCGTTTATTTGTAGAGGAAAAACTAACCGAACGCACGACTATTTTACGCGACACGACAAATGTATACGCCAAATGCGGAACGTAGAACGAGAAAAAAAATATAACCTTTTTTCAGATATTTTCTGTGTTATTCTTGCTTTGCTAAAATTGCGACTACGAAATTTAAGTGTCGCAAACCATCAGATCGCGAAATTAACGTGTCGCGAAAATTTCATGTAATAAGGTACTTGTTTTATTTTCAACAGCTCAACCTTTCATCATCGTTGAGTTCTGCTCCATGGGTAACTTGAGAGATTTTCTCCGTTCCAGTCATGGTAAAGTTGTGTACGCAAACATGGCGGGTAACAGTTTAACGCTAACGTGCCGTGATCTGTTGTCATTTGCCTGGCAGTGTGCGCGTGGAATGGGCTACCTTGCTAGTCAAAAGGTGAGTACTTCAACAGTCCTGGCTCGGAAGTGATTGACAAATGCAAAAACTCACAAACATTAAAGTTGCTAGATGAGGTTTCGCGCGATATCGACTATTGTTAAAAACCGAATCATTGAATAATGCAATTCTAGTGCTCTGATTGGCTTATCAATCATGGTATATGAGCCATTATACCATACTCTCCAAATATGGTAACTGTACGTGTCTGCTCAAAATTAAAAACAAGCTGAAAATCGGTTGTTTTTAAAAATAAAATCCGGAAGAATTCTCGTTTTTTTGTGGGCGTTTTTAATAAAACAATATTATTCCAGTCGCGCTTGTTGGGATGGTAGATACCCAACTCATATCCAACGCGCCCTCGAGGAATAACTGTTAATTAGCCTGTTCCAAGGGTTCAGATTGTATGGACGGCGTAGAGAAATGTTAGCAGGCAAACAGCTGAAAACTCCCTCTCTTTCTCGTTATTGTTTTCCCGCTCTCAGACTTCGCGCCGGCACCCCACTATGTGAACGCTTGGAAACGGCTAATCCAAAATTGGTTACGGCTGATAATTCTAGAGATCTCGAAAAACTGATTGTGTTTAATGATACTTTGCTTTTGTGGTATGCTTTTTTTATTTTTGTTATTGTTGGCAGGGTTAGCTCAGTCGGTAGAGCGCTTGACTACAGAGTGGGAGGTTGCGGGCTCGATTCCCGTGGTCGGACCAATACTCAGGGTCTTAAAATAACTGAGAAATGAGGGTACTCCCTTTGCGCTGCGAGCGGCTAGACCTTCGCATGGCTCGGGTGACCATGTAAAATGGCGGTCCCGACTCCAGTAGGAGACGTAAAAAATAGTGTCCCCAATTACGACTTTCGTGCTAAATATATTGACACTCCAAAAAAGTGCATTTTTTTTTTTTATTTATTTATTTATTTAATTATTCTTATTTGTTTATTTACTTTTTGCTTTCTAATTGTCCGCTCTGATTTGGTTCTTTCTCTTTTCTTTTATAGGTTGTGCACAGGGATTTGGCCGCCAGAAACATTCTAGTCGACAAAGGTCACGTTTGTAAAATCGCCGATTTTGGTTTGGCAAGAGATATCTACGAAAAGAAGCAGTATTTGAAACTGGGAGAAGTACGTGAATTTTTTTTCTTCCTCAGCTCTGCGGCCACTTACTGAAATCCCTGTCTCCCTGTTGTGGTACCTTCAGTGTTCGAAGTTGAGGGCGGCATGTCTTGTACCGCACATGTGTGCTTGGATTAACTCATAGCTTATGGCAACAATGCTCTAGCAGTTAGTATCGGTTGTGTCGTGCCAATGTTGTAAATAAGGCCTTACCAGCTATTCACAGCCGCTGCCACTTAATTGGTACATCAAATGGTATGGTCTCCTACGGCGATGTCACTCAGCACTTTCTCGAAGTGTTGCGCGACAAACTAATACGGCTTTCTAGACTGCCAGACTGCCAGACAGACTACGTCAGACGTACGTCAGGGCGTAACGTTAGCTTCTCTATCTTTTTACCTTGGCCAGAACTACCTTATCAACTCAGTTGCAAAAACCAAATCTTCGTATTTGACTCCCCAACCGACGCAACACCACAGTTTCTTTAGAAACTAAACCCTTCATTGATCTGCAGTACTCTGAGAAAACAGCTGTCATTTTGCCACGCCGCCAATGATTTTTCCGCGAAATGAGGACTGAGGAACAAGCGCAGAAATTCCATGGTTATGCGCTCGTACTACAGACATCATTTCGCGGGAAAACGAGTAGTGACGTTGCGAAATATCGCCTGCTTTCTCAGGCTAATCTGTGGAAAACGTTAAGTCCACAAAGGGTACGATATTCTGTTAAGTGGTAGTGATGCCCATTTCTATGCCTCCAGATGTCTGTCATGGATATATTTCTTCGCAAAGTACTCGCTGTCCAGCCATTTACGACGTTGCTTCACTCGGCTCCTAGTGCTAGTTTCATAGATTTTTATGTTGGTGTTTTCAGGCGGACTTGCCTCTCAGATGGATGGCCATAGAGTCAATATTTCAGGGCGTAACAACCACTGAAAGTGATGTGTAAGTATTTCTCGCTCTCTCTCTCGTTTTTTCGTTGCCTCTCTTGTTTTTTCTGTGCCTTCCTTTTTTATATCTAGTTTTATTGCCCGCTTCATCATCTTTCTTTCCCATGGAATTGTATCTGGCTATCTTTCCAGGGACCGAACGGGGGAAATTTTCTCTGGAATAGGGTTGTAGGTAAAAAGCTAAGTTCAACCCAAAATGTTGAGAGGCTTTTTGTGTGTAACTAGGGCGTGATTGGTTAGAATGTCCAAAAGTGGTTTCCTGTGCAGCGATTTTTCCTTGTTGAATGCGCTGCTTACTAACTTAAACGCTTACACTGAAAGCAAAGTGGGTTTAGAAAGGAAAATATCCATCGTTCCATGTGGAACGAAAACGGCCTAAGCGGTAGGGTTAACTTCTGCAAAATGCAAACTATTTTAAACTAGGGTAGGGTAGGTAGGGTAGGGTTAACTTCTGCCAAATGCAAACTATTTTAATGTCTTTGATTTTAAACTTGAGCCCAACTTTTGTTTTCTAGGTGGTCTTTTGGTATTCTGTTATGGGAAATTGTGACGTTAGGTAAGAATGAACATCCAATTCAAAACAATAGCTAACCAACAATAGTTTCGGCAAAACCAAGAAACACCCCAGAAAACACTGAATCAAAATACATATAGAAAAAAGAAGCGAAATTCAGAGCACAGAGTTTCAAGATGGTTTTCTGTTTCAACCAAAGTAGTTTGTGACGTCCATAAAGCTTTTTTTCTTGCCTTCTGCTCGTCGAGAAGTTCATTTTTATTTGCTCTGTACCTGACGGGGTACCTGGTTAGCGGCTATTTTCTTCTTACACACCGGTACGAGTTTTTTATCTTTCTAACTAGTAATAACCAAAGGTTACGGAGTGCGGGCGACAACGATCGAAGGTCAAAACGCTTTTAGTCCATCGCTGTGCTTTGCGCAAGTTTCACGTGACAAGTAGTCAAAACAGGGGTGATCAGATTACGAGTGATAGAAGGTCTAAACTCCATTCATTCTTAGTGAAAGTCCAAAGGAATGCCAGGTACATTCATGCCGCGCATGCGTAATAACAACCTGGAGATTAGGATTGCGGGCTCCTCTTGTCGCCCGTTTTTCGCCCGCAATTAGACTTGTTTTTTGTTCTTATTATTTTAGGAGCTCATCCATACCCAGCTTTAGGTCGAGATCAGTTGATTGAAGAGCTGCGTTCAGGGTACAGGATGCCGAAACCAAAATTCTGTTCCGATGAGTTGTGAGTATCTTAGATGTAGCGTTTGTTAAGACGCCTTTTAACTTTTTCTCCTGAAGGGATATCCTTTGGTTTGTCTTAACGAGTTTGAGTTGAAGAAGTTGTTGATAAAAATTAAGTAAATGTAGTTTCGTCATTTCATTTTTATAATTTGTCTCTAGATATTCTATCATGTGGCAGTGTTGGCAACAAGAACCTGCATCTAGACCAACATTCCTGGAGTTAGGAAAAACACTCCACAGACTGATGACTGCACAGACGGTTGGTATACATTACTTTTTGGAGTGCCAAACCTTTCGTGTAAACAATAAATTTTTATTGCATCGTATCAGAGTATAAAATTGTCGTGTCAAGTTGGTTTGGGACAACTCGAACAGCCCACTTAAGCAACTGTTAGAGCCGTAGCCAGAAAAAAATAAGGACTGAGGCAATATTCATGATTGAATTCCCCGCCTAGCTATTTATGATGACTACGTTTAAACAAAACACTGGGATCAAACCTTAAATGACTGAGGCAAGTGCCTCGGTTTGCTCATACTGGCTACGGCCCTGACTTTGAAATAAAACCTGAGCCAAAAGGGTCTTTAGCGAGTTTCGAACCTGTAACCCCTCCGTTACCGTTCGGTGCCCTACCAACTGACGCATATCTGTTAAGCAGTTGACCTTCTATCAGCTTTAGTGTCGTTGTCATTTTTTCCGCCCTTTTCTATTTATTACCAATTTTGGCGAACCTGAATTTAAGTTAGCTACGATGAAACATTTGAAAGGTAGGCTGCCCTTTCGTACCGAAGTAATGTGAAAAGTTTTTTTTGTTTCGTTTTTTTTTTATTTTATTTTTCTTTTTACCACACAGGCTAATAATCCTCTTTTTGAGGGGTTGCTGTATTAGTAAATGAGTAAATGAACGAATGAATGAATGAATGAATAAAAAACTTAACGCCGTTCGTGTCGCTTGTGTACGCGTAAAGTTGCATGTGCATGCAAGGCTCAAATCAAAAAGCCTGTTTATCGCTTATCCTCATTTATTTTTGTGATTTCAGCTGTCCATTGATTTGGACAATTATGATCGAAGCTACATAAACGCAACGAAGGAGCTTGAGCTTTGAAGTAACCACAAAGTACAGTGGCAGGTGATATCGATAACGTCAAGGCCCTGCAACTTGATCTTCGTCTCACCTTATCGGAGAGTGAACGTTTCTATGTATGAAGAGGAAGTATTGTTTCTGGGGAAATAGGCGGAGGCTTTTTTAGGAAGTAGAAATCACATGTCACTCCGATCGCAGAACCCTGTCTTGACTTTATCCAGTTGAGGTTAATTATGTGTCATCTGGCGTTGCTGTCGTGAATCAACCTATTCGTATCGGGATTGACCAGAGCTACTGACCATTTATATGGAGAAGCCGGAAATTTTGGTTGGAAAGTCAAATGGTTCACGCCATCCCGTTTGGGAAGCTTCAGAAATTATGGGCTGCGGTTTGAGGCGATGCAATTTTTCCGCTCTTTTTAGTCTGTTCAGTAAACTTGAATATATTTTGTAGCGGGTCGTACTCCCACCACGCCAAATTGTATGGTTTTTTGCTTATGCACAAGATTTCCTCCTGGGTGGTTTTATGTAAATGGTAACGTCCCAGAATTCGTCAGTTACATAGACGCTGTAATAAAGAAGCTATTCTTTAAAGTACGTCAAAAATTGTTTGAGCTAAAATGAGTTGCGTGCAAAGATGATAAAGTCAACTTGTAAATAAGGTTTAAAAATCTCAGTGTTTGAATTTTGACCCTTTAATTTCTCCTTTGATTTTTTCTTGGTTTTACTTTGACCATGAGAGATAAGTCTGCTAAGCTCACCGATCAGGTTTTTGTACAAATGTAAATCTAAGGTAAATTTATGCTCCCTTTTGTACAAATATTCCGGTATATCTACATGTTTAGATGTATATATATTCTTTTTCTCTTTTTAGATAACATTTTGTTTGATTGCTTTGTTAGTAAAAATTTGAAAATTTTTACAAATTTTTCAATTATTTCTTTTGTTACATTTTATAGGTTTTTTAATTAAAAGGAGAATATTAGGTGATGCATGTTTTGTTTTTGTTGAACACTATTTAAATGTTCTATTGCAAAGTAAATCAGACAAAAAGGCGCCACTGTACACGGTTTTACCATTTTATTTATGAGCTTTAAACTGCTTTTCATCAGATTGAGGAAAGGACTTTTTTCTTCTGTGTTGTATATCAGGAAAAGTTTATGAAAGATTCAAACAAATTCAGGAGATTATTTCTTCATCCAGCATCCAGTCCACTTTATCGTCTTCAAAGGCCCTGAAATTTAAAATTACAGTAGACAATATGATTTAATTTTTGTTTCTGATGTTTGATGAACGGAATATCACTATGACTTACTTTAACATTCATACAGAGTCTTGGATTCTTGAAAAAGTCTAGACCTGAAAAGAGTCTGGAAATAGAGATGAAGTCTGGAAAAATGACAAAAAGTCCCAAGTTCTTTTTTGTTTTCAAAGCTACAACAAGTGCTTTAGAAGTGAAACTTTTAGTCTTGGTCAATCTCGCCCTGATGTTTGCAGCGCATAAAGAGAAAAGCTTTGTTTCTGCGTTTTTCAAAGTTATTGTTTTGGAAATGTCTTGAAATTTGGATCCAATAATCTGTACAAACCCAACTTCCTAATGTATTTCGGTCAGAACGCTGCTCGAATCAGTAATTTTTTGTTGGTTAAGTTCCCTCCCTCAACTTAGCACAAATTGCATGGTTCGTACAATCTTGAAAAGGTCTTGAACTTTACTAGTCGTCTTGAAAAGTCGTTGAATTCGGTTTAGGTCCTTGAAAAGTAGTTGATTTCTTTAATAGGTGTTGAAAAGTACTTGAAATTCACAACCTTGTCTACGCCAGACACCTTTTTCTGTAAAATGCAATTACTTTCCCGAGGAAAATGTGGCTCATCCTCGGTGTAAGAACCTGTAAAATTCACGGGTAACGTAAAAGCATTTTTGTTTTGCGCATGAACAATATTTTATTCCTGTTTCTTTTTGTAACTTGCTATTTCTGTACCTCAGGTGCAATTGGACGTGTTTTAGCCAATAGGGTGATCAAAGGCGGTTAAAAAAAGGCCGATATATTAAATAAATCTTTGTCGTTNTATCGGTGAGGCAAAAGTAGTAACAAAAGCAGGTACAACAAAATCAGGCCTACCTTGGACCGAGGCAGCGGAAACAGCCGGTGAGACCGACGAAAAACCAACGCCAGAGGCTGCCAAGCTTGAGGCTTGGGCATCGAGTTGACCAGTAGAAGACGAAGACGAAGACGAACCAGGAACGCCCCCAGGCGAGGCCGCCATTGGCACGCTTGAAGCAAAACTAGTGGCAGGCGTTGAAGGCAGATTCGAAGTTTGCTCGGCCGCTAGCGCTTGCTTGACAGCACTTACAACGGCGGCCAAAAAGGCAGGAGAAGGCTGGTCCGACATGGGTGATTGGGACGTTGCAGATGGGTCCGCTGAGCCTGTACTAGGCAAACTAGAGTTCGCCGCCGAACTGGACGGGTTGCTTTCAGCAGGAGAAATCATGGCATCAAAGCCGCCGCTTGGCTGTTACGTGTTGGCCTGGACGACATATCGTAGCAGAATGCTTTCTCGCGACAAACGAAGGGAAGAACAGCAATAAACCGAGCAAGAATCCGCAATGATTCGCACTAGCAAAGCGTTTGATCCGCAAAGATCAGCTGATAACACTGCACGTGTAAAGCAATGAACCTTGAAACCCTGTGAAACCTCTAGAGGCCACCCCAAAGGTCACGTGCCGCAGATGGGGGAGACCGCTGGCTGCATTTGCTCACATTTTAACTTTGCCTAAATGATATTTAGCCACATTTTTAAACCTACTTGTTGTAATACATGCTACTTGTGACAGAGAAGAGAGCATCGCTCTCGTCAGTCTCGCTCTTATTCCGCTGACCAGGTGGAATGCTGTAACCCTTCTTGTCATTCTGACACCATGTCACGCATGCGTACATGATCATCCCTAAAACTAGCAATCCCACAACACCTAACGCTACACCCAGGGCACTCCTGTTGGTAACTTGATATAAAACCAGAATTGTGTGGTCGTTATCTGAAAACCCAAAAGATGTAGTTAAATAAATGTCCCGCTAGTCATGTACAAAGTTACCCTCAAAAGGTCTTACATACTTGACGATAAGCTTTTTAGGTTTTTTAAGCTCACTTTTTCTTCAAGACAACAAGGACTTGTTGCTGGTAAAGAACATAACATAGTAATGAATAAACATAACCGGAGATTGGAGATTTGAGTCTTTGAAGTTTAACGTGATTAGCGTGACTGGATTATTGGACCACCACAGTGAGTTATTTTATTTCTCATTTGAAGAGTTGCTCTAACAGGCTAATCATCACTACTTTACCATTTACTTAACCTGCCTAACCTTTCTAAGTTTGAGGATAAGGAAAGTATAGAAAAGAAAGAAGATTTTGGCAAACAATGATAATAACAATGAACAATGATGATGGTGATGATGATGACGATAATGATGATGATGATAATGATGATGATGATGATGGTGGTGGTAGTGGTGGTGGTGGTTGTGGTTATAATGATCGTGGTGAAGATGATGAGGAGTCCGCACTAAAAGCCATTTAAAGTTGACGGACATTTCGCATTCTATAACTTAAGTGAGTTTGATTCAAGCACTCCCTACCTGAAGAATTGGTAGCCGGAGACCAGAACACAACCGCCCGACTCTCCACTTGTTTGTACTTGTTATGTAGAGTGACATTCAACAAATATTCACTGCCTGGCTGTAGATTTTTGAACAGGTGACGACCACACTCCAAGGATATATTACCAATCGCGTAACTCCATTCATCAGAATTTATTAGTCTCAAACCGAGGCTAACAACAGCAGAAGTGAAAACGCCATGATCAGTCAGATGCCATGTGACCTGAACACTCAGAAAAGACTTGTTCTGGGCTAACACGGTTAACAGGAGTGGGTCAGACTCGGCTGTGAAAACAACAGAAATTTTCATTTTATCGATTAGACATGTTGATGATACTTTTATTGGACTGTCACGGTTAATAAATACAAAAAAACTAATTTAACGAAACCTCTGAGAAGGGAGTCATCATGAGGAATGATAGTAGACTTTTCCGTGAGTAAGATGCTGCTGATTGTGCCAGGTAGTAACCATAATACCAGGTCTAAATTATCTGTGGTCGATGATTTCTAAATTCAACACAAGCAGGGCGCTTGCGATTTAATCCACCTTATACCAAAGTCGAAAAAATTGTCGTGAAAGTATCTCGTAACAGCTTTGCTGCTTTCTTAGCTTTAGGGAACATTGAACCCTCTAACCCGAGAAACTGATGCTTTGTAGCGGTTCGTCTCTTGTTTTGCAGGAAAAAAATTCCTAAATGAGCGTTTAACAAGAGTATAGCCTGAGTGGTGGACGTAAAAAAGGAGAGGGGAAGGAGGAGAAAATCGTAAAAGATATCGACAATGGAACCCCAAGCACACGAGCAGCCCTGACAACAATCACTCTGTTTGGAAATATCCAGAACTTTGAACCCCCAGAGAATCTTTTCCTGCTACAAAGCTATTACTTTTCACTTATTAACCGAGAGTGAGGTCATTACAGAAAAATCTCAGACCGAGGCATTGATGTGTTGACCGAGCGATAGCGAGGTTAATACATGAAGGCCGAGGTCTGAGATTTCCCTGCAATGACCGAAGTTATAAGTTATAAGTTATATGTTATATGGCCTTTTTAGTGCTTTTATATAAAACAAGGGACGCAATTGAGCCTGTAATCAATTACAAACAACTTGTCAGCAGAAAACTTTAAAAATACACGTCGCCTCAATGAGTTGTGCACTTGATCCCTCTATACAGTTAGGGACTGTGCAATAATTATCAGGAGGGGGGGCTGAAAAACTAGAGGGGGGGCATTAAATAAAATTGCTGCCAAGATAGGTGGGGCTCAAAGTAAAATCACTCATTTGACGGAGGGGGGGGCCTTAAGTTTTATTCGAAACGTAAATAAAATTAAACGCAATAAAAGATTCTCAATACAGGCATCATGATA